TTATCTGACTCATACATATACTAGATATTGCAAATAAGGGAAACCATGGGAAAAAAGGTAATTTCTTATGAGCCTTTTAGCTCTCAGAATTCTTAACAAACTGTGTGTGTGTGTGTGTGTGTGTGTGTGTGTACAGTGTGTACATACTCTGGCCCTGGGGCTTGAACTTTGGGTCTGGGTGCTGTCCCTGAGCTTTTGTGTGCAAGACTAGTACTCTACCACTTGAGCTACAGCTCCACTTCCAGATTTTGTGGTACTTTAGTAGAGATAAGAATCTCACAACTTTCTTGCCTGGGCTGGCTTTGAACTGAGATCCTCTGATCTCAGCTTCCTGAATAGTTAGACGTGAATCACTGGTACCCAACTGAACAAACTTTTTTACACTCTTACATTCATATAATTCAAGGTTGAAATATTTTAAAAAATGTGAATCCTCAAAATGGTGATTACTTTAGGCATTAAATTTTTTTATCATTATTGCTAACATCAGTTTCTTAGCCTCAGCACTATTAATATTTTGGGCTGGATCATTCTGTGTGTGTGTGTGTGTGTGTGTGTGTATTTCTTATACATCTTGGAATACTTAAGCAACATTCCTGGTGTCTATCCTTATATATACCAGTAGTATACACTTTCTCCCTCAGTTCTAACAACCAAAAATGGCTCCGAAATGACGAAATGTCCTTTGGAGGGCAAAACTGTCCCATGTTGAGAACCACTGCTCTCTTTTGTAATTATTTGTCTCCTGCCCCCTGATATGGCCAGGAAAAACGAAGTCTAAAATTTTCAAGGCATTCACAAGTTATTGATTTTAAGAATTTCAAACTTCCTGACATGTGAGGCATCCTGACACACTTCCACCTCAAAATATTAATAAGTAGCACTACTGCTATCTCCCACTCAATCATTTAGTACATCAAAGAGGATAGGTTTGCTCACCCAAATTTCTGGACTACTATCCTCCTGAATGGAAATTTTAGAGCTCCATTCTTAGAAGACTGCTCAACAGAAATCCTTCATAACCCATCACTAGCCCTCAGCACTGATAGTACTGAATGAGGTTAGAATTTGAGTGTTTACTAACATCATCTACTGAGGCAATGTGTCTGGGTCAGACCATTCAGACACAGTTCTCTCTACTTGGCATGTGCAAAGGAGAGGCATGGTAAAGCAGATGTCTCCTCCAAGAGGTTCATAGGGTGAGAAAAGATATGAACATCACATTGGAGGACTAAAAGTACAAGAATGAATGGTGGGAAGTTCAGCTGGTGACTGGTATGTGGAAAAATGGGTGGGCTTAGAGACTGACTAATACCAGTAGGTGATTAAAAAAATCCCTAAATATTTATTATGTTCCTTAGATCATTGTTTTTCTTTCTTCCCAATCTCCTTCTCTTTTCTATCCTTCTCTTTCTCTTGATCAAGTTAAGGTAACTGGCTTCTTTAGTTGTTACCAGTTGTTTTGTCTAGCAGTTTATTTTTCTCCATTTTAAAAATTAAGGTTAAGTTTGGTGTGGTGATACATGCCTATAGTACCAGCTTTAAGGAGGATGAGGTAGGAAGATTGTATTTTCAAGGACATCTGGGCTATACAGTGAGATTTTGCCTCAGAAACTAAGACAGAAATTAAGGTGTAATTTACATACAACAAACTGATCTTTTCTAGCATACAGCTCTGTGATTTTTCATGAAAACACAGCTTCATCAACACAATCACAATTAAGAAATGGAATAATGTTAATGATGTCTTTCTAAAATAATTTGTGTTTAGTTATTTTAAGATAAAATATTTGCACATCTATATGGCATACAGTATAATAATGTCACACATGTGGACAATGTAGTAATCAAATCTGGGTGAAAGCCTGTGTATCACCTCAAAAATCACTTTATATAGTGTGAACTTTTGTGCTCTTTGCTAATAGTTGGATGATTTTCCATTCTTCAAGCAGCTAATTTCCTACTTCTTTCATTTTAATGTATAGGCCATAAAAGTTCCCTGTTTTGGAGATTATTTTTTGGTCTGTAAGTTCGTTATTTGTATTACATAGCTGGCTTAGTAAATACACTAAATTGACAGAGCATTTTTGTGTGTTTGGGTGGTGGGGGGTGGGGGTGGTAGTACTGGGTTTGAACTCAGAGTCCAGCACTTGTTAGGCTTGCTTGCTTTGCTAGGTCTCTACCATTAAACCCATACCTTCAAGCTCAACTTTTTGGAGATGGAGTCTCATGGACTTTTCAGCCTATGCTACCTTAAGATCTCTATCTTTGGATCTCAGTCTCCTGAGTAGCTAGGATTACAGGTATGAGCAACTAGGGCCTGGCAAAGATATTATTTACCTTACAACCTCTTTCCTAAATCCAATCTTATATGTTAGAAAATACCACTCTAATAACCAGAAGAAAAAGATTAGTTTTTAAAAGCTGGTGCCTCTGGCTAGCTACTCAGGAGATTGGGATAGAAGGATCTGAGGATTGTGGTTTCTTGCCAGGAAAGGCAGAAAAGTCCATGAGAATCTTTTCTCTAATTACCACCCCCTGCCATCAAACAAACAAACAAACAAACAGAAGAGAGCTGTGGCTCAAGTGGGAAAGCCCAGGCCCCGAGTTTAAGCCTTAAGACTGGCAAAAAAAAAAGAAAAATATCCACTTGTCAGAAAGCTCCAATTCATTATGACATTCAATTACAAAACTCCATTCCATTTAAGATTTTTACAGATGTAAAAGATGTGCAGACCAAGGCAACGGCTTGCCTTTGATAATAACACTCTATTTTTTAAAAAAGTAATATAAATAAATGTACCAATACATTAGTAACATTTTATTTTTTAAAAAGTAATAGAAATAAAAAAGTAATAGAAATAAATGCACCAATACATACCAAAATTTCCACCAACTATCACAAACTTTATATACACCACATGTCTTCTAATACAGCAGCAGGACTGGTCCTAAAAAATATCACAAAAGACAAAACCAATCATCCAACAGACATAATCTAATCACCTTGTGCTTCTCTGGAAATAGTGATCTCTCTTTCTCTGTTTTGGACATCCATCAATATACAGAATTCCAATTATCAAGTTCTGCCCCTTTGCTTTTCACAGGAAAATGAAAACAATTTATAAATTACCTCACTACAAGCAAATAAAGAAAGAAAAAATGGGGGCTGGGAAGGTGGCTCAGTGGTAGAGTGCTTGCCTTCATGCATGAGGCCCTAGGTTCCTCGGCAAAACATAAGCAGAAAAAGCCAGAAGTGGCGCTGTGGCTCAAGTGGTAGAGCTCTAGACTTGAACTAAAGAGCTGAGGGACAGCGCCCAGGCCCAGAGTTCAGGACCCAGGACCGACAAAGAAAGAAAGAAAGAAAGAAAATACAAGACAAATACAAACCATGCTTATACGTGGTTTGAATTTTGATCCTTTAAAATTATCAAAGAAAAGTATCTAAAATTGAACTCATAACATTTTTCCTAAAGCAATGCTTCTTTCTTTTACCCTCCTTTCTCCTCAGTTCTCTGTAAGACCCTGAGTAAGTCTGCAAACTTTTCTAGGCTTCATTTTACTGTTTGTGGCATAGTGACTATGGCATTAACCTCATAGGGTTGCTATGAGGATTAAATAATATCAACTGAATGGTATACAAATGATACAGAAAAGTCTTAACAGCACCTGGGATATTGTAAGCCCTCAACAAACAAACTTCTATCATCATTGTCCTCATTCCCCAGGCTTGAGGCCTCCTCAAATGGCCTTCTTCTGTTGCACATCAGGACCTAAATCCTAGCACTGTGCTAGGATTCATTGCTCCTCTGCCTTCTCATCCTGACACTCTATGGTCTGGGTCAGGCCTTGCAGAAACCAAGCCCTTGGCCTCTAGTTTCTACCATTCCCACCAAATTTTTGGGCTCTGCAAAGCATCCTTTTCAAGCACAACTTGTCTAGTCCTTCCTTGGCAAACATGCCTTCCACTACTTCCCCTTACCTACACAATATGTGTGAAATCATGTCTGCCTGGGACTCAAGCTCACCCAGCTTTATTTCTACATGTTCTCACCAGATTTGGAAAATCTAGTCACCTGTCTTGCTGCTGGGTCTCTAGAAGGTCTGTCTCCTCCCTGGGATCCTTCTGTCCTCTCTCTGTCAGTAGGAGACCCAATCACTTTCATCACTTATACTGTGACAATCTATAGACATATTTCTTAGAATGTTTTTAAAAGCCTAAAATTAATAGACAAAAAGCACAGGATTCAAAAGAAGAAAAGTATAATGATACTACATACTTTACAAAACTGGAAGGAGCTTCTTTCAATAGCTAGATAGTTTATAGCAAAACTCTAATAATGATCATAATGTTTCTACCTTGATTTTTCCAAACTTGGTATTATTTTAATTCTTCTTTCTCTTAAAAAATTATATTTTGGGGCTGGGAAGGTGGCATGCATGGGGCCCTGGGTTCGATTCCTCAGCAACACATAAGTGGAAAAAGCCACAGTGGTGCTGTGGCTTAAGTGGTAGAGCACTAGCCTTGAGCTGAAGAGCTGAGGGACAGTGCCCAGGCCCAGAGTTCAGGCCCCATGACTGGCAAAAATAAAATAAATAAATAAATAAATTATATTTTATTTAAGTACTTCCTGTTTTATGGGAAATGCTCATTTTCTCATTCTTCTCATGAATATCAGCATGCACAGTAAGAAGGCATTCATGAGGGCTGCTTGACTCAATCAATAAATTAGAGTATAATATTGCTTTTCCACATGAGTTTTGCTAATATTAATATCTCTTTGGCAGCCTATGAGGTCCTCATTATGTAGCTGTGCACCTAAATGTCCTATACTCAAATTACAAAAGACTGAAGCTCAGTCAACAAAATGCTCTCTTCTTTTCTTCAGAGATGGAATGCTTAGTCTGTGTTGCTGACTTATAGGACTCTAGGAACATATCAGACATTCAATTATTCCATTATCACATAGCTCATGGACTACCTGAATGAGACACACATAATCCTGCCTTCCTGCAGCATCACATCTAGCAGTTTTCCCAAGCTAGTCCAGGGGAACTGAGAATTTCTCATCTTGCAGGGCCTTTGAACAGATCAATTTTTATTTTTTTATTGTGAAAATACTGTACAGAGGGATTACAATTACATGGGCAAGATAATGAGTACATTTCTTATCGAGCATTGTAGCCTCCTCCTTTGTTTCCCTTTCCCATCCCCCCCCCCCCCCCCCCCGCCCAACCCTGCTCCCCCACCCACCAAAGTTGTAAAGTTCGTTTTGGTTAGATAAATTTTTCTAAATGGACAAGGCTAGTTAAGAACTGTCTGGCATTCACCAGTGACCAAACTATAAGCCAGTTTCTCATCAGTCATACCAAAGTGAGCCTATGGTTTGGAAACTAGCAGATCAAATAGACACAACAGTAGAATTCCATCTTCTCTTCAAGCACTTTCCTAAAAGATGTCTTTGAATATGAAGTCACAGATGGCAAGTACCAGAGTGACTGTCTCAGGAAGGCCTATTCTACGGTTGGCTAGGGTTCACTCTGGGGCCACCGAGTCTGCTCCACAACAGGCTCTGGACTGTCAGTCTATCCTTTTTCCTAAATAGCTGCAGCACAGGATTCCTGTGCACCTTCTTTCAAAAATAATAAAAACAAAATAGTTTATACTTCTCAAATGAAGAATAATGATTTTTCTCCACTGAGAACCACTTATCAGGACATGGTGACCATTTGCTTTGGCAAAAATTTATCACTGGCTGCCCTTTCCATGCCTGACATCATGTCAAGTGACTCTTAGAACAAGTGGGAGTGTTCGCTTCTTCCCCAATGCCTACTAAGGCTGATGTGCTCTCCACTTAAAGAACAAAGGCTGAACTTGGAGTGATATTATTATATTTAAGAACATTTAGAGCCATTTCATTTAACTTGGTCTTTGTGAGACATACTACAAATATGGTATTAATCACCAATAAAAATAAAAATAACAGTGATTACAGGGAAGCTGGCATGACTAGTTTATCTTCTGTTTCTAGAATTATAATGCATACCCTGTCATAAATGAGTAATAACATTTTTATGGGTATTCCCACACAAGAATGTGTAACCCTGTGTACTTTGTGCTTCTAATACATACCACAGATTTGTGTGCTTCCTAGATTCAAGGCAATCTTCTAATTACATACTTGGAACAAGGATACCTGAGACAGTTTTCATTTCCATAAGATCATACCCACTTCCTTCTTTCTAAAAGAGTCCCCATGTTTCTCCAGCCACTGTGCTGGAGATTCTTAGAAATGTTGGATATGAAGTTCCATCTGAACCTGGTAATCTGTGTATACATTAAAACTGGAGAGCCTCTAATCAAGAGAAACCAGCCATTGGTTCAAGATGTGTGGCTCAATTTTAAGCCAATGAAATGTGAAGAATGTTTTGCTGGGAGCTTCTCTGCATTCTTCTGGGAGAACTCCTTCCTTCTGAATGTTGTGTGGGTGTAATGCTTGGAACTTCTGTAGCTGTATTGCTGCAGCCAGAGATAGTTCAAGTTATTACATAAGTTCAACCTGAAGTTTGTGGCACCCCTGAGTTTCCAATAAGTTTCTTATTGTTTATGTAGGCCTTCTTCGGTTGGATTTTCAACTATCTGCAGTTGGAAATTTTTCTGAGGAACTAATTCCTAAACAAAACATTGTAGAAAGAGCACGATGCCAAGGCACTGGGCATGTCCACATGTTGAAGAGTCCAGACAGGGAAGTTACAGAGAGACCAGACCAAGTTTAAATACTCATTTTGCTCAGGGAATTGATCCCTTTGTAGTATTTTCAAGTCCTCATAACCATCATTCATTTGTGCATTTTAAAACTTTTTAAAATCAGCTGGACTCAATGAACTAAAGGAAATGCTGAATACTTTCCAAATTATTTTAACCAGGTGGTCAACAGTTGGCCTTCCCCAGGAGTCATACAGATGTCACTTCCTGCAAAGACAATGGGAGACTAATTACTCAGCCTCACCCTCCACTAGGGAAGACAACCTGCGATATGTAATTACTGAAGGATAAATAAGGAAGAGCTTGGGGCTCTCAGAATTTGTTTCTGGATCTGCTCCAATTACTTGGGGAAACAGAAAAAAAGCACCAGCTGGTTTGGAAAAGATTTGAGACGTAACAGCTTAGGCAGCCACCTCTACCATTTTTTTTTACACTTCATTGGTACTTAGCAAAGAGCTTTCTGAGGAAACCAAATAGACTGGCTATTATATATTTTTTAAAAAATACACAAAGCCATATGTGGCTTTGGTATAACTGCTTTGCGTAGAGGAGTGATACAGGTGAGGAGAACTGGATATCTAAATTAACATTACCTCTGGTGGGTCCTAGCTTCTTAGCCACATGAGAGTATTCTGGGTTTGGCTAAGGTTGTGTTTGTGGTATTAACTTGATAGAACTTAGTTCCTATTAAGGAATGGTACAAATACAGAATGTTTCCCTAGGTCCTATATCCTTGGAACTCTTTTTTTCAAATCCCTTTTTTGCTTTCTCTTTCCTGACACTTCACACACTTCTAATATGCCCAACCACTTTTCTATGCAATGAGTTCAATCTGCATCTCTAGATCTATCTGTCATGTTCCTAGGGCATTTGCTACCCTGAAACAGAAAATGCCTTCAGGGAAGGGACTTTGTCTTGGTCATGGTTATGTTCCCAGTGATTGTACAGTGCTTGGCACAGAGTTCATGCTGTCTTTTGAACAAATAACCGAAAGCCCTTATCAGACTGAGTATGCCTCACAAGGGTTTCTTGCTGTCACTCCTAATTGACCTCTCTTACTTCGACTTTCCTTTTTACTCATTGATATACATGAATTTCTGGGCTTAGGTCCCTCCTAGAATATCTCAGATAAGAAAGACTTAGTGTGCCAGCCTCATGCTTTCTAAGTGAAAAACTGGGTCCACT